GAACATGCTCCAGTGCCAGCACAAGAGCAGGATGAAGTGTGACCATAACAAATTAGAGTATTTGTGGCACAGCCACCTGGTCCTGGTCTCTGCTCTCCAAAAGCCTCCTAGATTGAGCCCTTTTGGGAAATCAGGCAAACCATGTGTTTCTCTGTCCTACCTGAACTCTACTGGAGACAGGCATGGGGCTTGCCAGCCCAGCATGTGTCATAGGCACCACTCAGGAGCTTAATTTCTCACACCTTTCTGCTATATCTTGTCTTCTGGTCTCTTCAGTTGTCGCTCTCTTCCAGAAGGCCACTACTGCTATCCATATAATTAATAACCACAACCTTCTGTACAAGGAGATCTTTTTTCAGTGAGTTGCAACGTATAATGATGCTTGTAGGGGACAGACTGCTGAGTATCTCATGCTGAAGGAAGCCAAATCTTCCTATTATGACATGGTGAGATCAATAAATATCTCTATTGCAGGCAAATTTGCCATGGCAAATGGCTGCAGCCTGTGGGGTACAAGCTGAAATCTGCTGAAATCTGTAATGAAGTAACAAAAGTCATAATGGTCTCATTGAGACTCTCCGGTAACTTGTATAGGTTTGGGAATGTCAGGCTGTTCCCTGGAGAGGATCTAGTGTTCCTGTGATGGGCTAATGTAGATGGAGGTGGGGAAGAACCAAAACACAAGAGTGCTCATTTGGCCCTTACACAGTTGCTCACTTACGAAGTAAGGACAGGAGCCACAGCATCACTGTCCTCCCATTATCACCTTAGTGACAGCAGCATGGTGAACTCACAGCATCACTTCATTTGTGAACAAAGAAGAAGACTGAATGTTTCCACAGCGTCTTCAAATCCCTTCAAATCCTCCTAGCCCAACTACCTTCACAGAAGTGTTTTCTACCTTCCCTTATGGAAAGCTTTTCGTTAATATTTGAGCAATGAAGACAACACAGCAGCTGTTAACATCATTTTCCCCTTGAAGTAGATTGTCCTCAGGTAAAACAAAACACAATTAAGGTACTGGCAAAGTCAGTTATATTAGACAATCCATATCCTCATAATGCAGATATTTCCTTCATTGTCTGTCACCAGCATCAAATCCCCAACCGCAGCAAGATAATTGGCAGCCTCACTTTGGGGGAAGATGAAATGGTTTGTGTTGCCACCAAAACCAGCCTATATTTTTTTTGTGTAAGTGTTGGAGCCTGGGGGTGGTATCGCTCATCTAGCTGCATTGCTGGAGAGTCATGTATCAAGGACAGGCTTCTGAGGTGGCTTCTGTCTCCCTCCTATTTACTGCTCCATTAATTACAAACCAGATGTCAGGGGAAAATTTAAAAGTCAACTTTATTTGAAATCCTGCAATATAAAAACCTCAATCAGAACAATTTATTTTTTTTGTGGTGGGGAGGGGAAACATGAAGGAGAGGAATGTTCTTTAATCCTTTGCTTATAGTTCCTTTCTATTTTATTTTTAACTCTTATTTTTTAAAGTTGTGGTTATTTTGTTTTTCATTAAATGGCAAAAGGCATTTCTCTTTTTCCTTCTGCTCCTTCAGCCCCCAGAAGGTTTTTCTTTGAGAACCAGACCTCACCCAAGACCTTCACCCTCCCAGCTGGAATTTCTGTCATACATTCCTTTTGCTGTTTATGCCCCAAGACTGTTCAGAAACATAAATGCAGCTGCCTACTTGCTTGACAATGTTTTATTCATGAACCATGTTACATCTTTTCAGTGTCTGCACAGGCTTCCAGGTGTCCTGGAGCTAATGGAGACATGGCTGGGGCTGAAAGCAATGGGATACCTAACTCACAGCCAGAGATGACAGTCCCTGGATGGCTGGAATGTAGAAGGACCTGGGTGATGAGATGCTGGTACTGTATTCTGGAGCTGCCTGGGCAGTCAGATGGAGCATCCTCCAGAATCACAAAATCATAGAATCATTTAGGTTGAAAAAGAACGTTAAGATGATCGAATTCAACCATAAACTTAGCATTGCCAAGTCCACCACTAAACCATGTCCCTAAAAGGCAGCATCAACAGGGAAGCAGAGCGTTGCTGTACTACTCTTGTTTCCGTTCCCTGACCAGAAATGAAGGGATGGACTGAGGAAGCAAAGGATGTAAGAAGAAGAACTGGTTCCTCTTGTTTTCACTCTGCCAGTTTCCTACCAGCTACTGCATTTTTCCATCAGAAATTTGATTTCCAATTTACTGTGGGATTAACCCTTTAGTTAATCTAAGGTCATCTAAGGATGACTCTCATCTGTAAGTGGCCGATATGTTTAATCAAGGCCAATCTGGTTTTATCAGACTGTAGAGAATGCAGTGTAAGGTCAGGAGCAATAACATCATTCAGTTCCTCGCTTAGGAAAGCTTCAACCTTAAAGAAAATTCCTCTGTTGTATTATGTTCAGGAGGGTGAGGTGCTGCACTCTCAGGTATGTGATGGGACTAATGGAATGGAATAACTCAGTGGAAAAAAAAATCCAGCAAGTTTGTACAGGATTTATGTATGTGTGTGCACAAGATTATTTCTATCTTTATAAATTATCAGAATTTCTAATTATATAATTTTTGAAGGAGTAAAGGACAAAGGCAAGAAGATAAACCCCAACAGTTTGGAAATCTTAGAAGCTGCAAGAGTTGAATGTTAATGACAGTCACTGGGGTTACACTCTCTTGTAAATGTGGGGAGGGAGGGGAAATAATCTGTAATTACAGAATAATGACCCTTCTAGTGGGAGCCAGAGGACTGGGAGTCTGTACTGGGGCAGGGACAGCTTGAGGAAACCAGTATGTTTATTAAGACAAACGAGTCACGAGGTGGCTGTAACAATTTGGATCCCACTGCAGTTTTGATGGTGTTTTTGTCAGAGATCTGCAGGCACTGGTATGTGTTGCAACAAGACCAAGGATGGGATGATGAGTTCTACAGTTTCTACAGATGATCGGTTCTTCCTCACAAACTGATCATAAACTGGAGGCAAACTGAGAAGGCTAGAAGAAGGCTGTGCTGGAGAGCACTGTGGAACAAGAAGGAGGCACAGACAGGCACCAAAACACAGGTAAGAGCTGAGAAGCACAGCTGAAAGGGCAGTGGATGGAGAGGTGGAACAGCGATTCCCCATGTGCGACTTTGGGAGGGGAGACTCTAAACTACCCCCCAAACTCCCCTGTGATGTCTGGGCCATGTCAGACCATGACATGGGCCTAAATAAACTCCCCAGTGCAACTCCAGCCTACAGATTTTACTGGAAAACTGTTTGGAGTTCCAGCAAACACTTAATACGCCTGCTTTCCAGCTGGCACTCTATCTCCTGCTACTCCTGTACAGGAAAAGGCATCGTTGGGTTCCTCACCTCTTGGGATTGGAGGTTGAACTGGACATTTCAGAACTGGACATTCCTACACCTGGTTGTTTTTGCAACATGACAAAAGCAAATAGAACTTTAATGGGAACATTGTTTACAAGGGGAAACTGAAAGAACTATTTACATATCACTTGGAGAAACAGTATAAAATAGTGGATCTGTAACTAGAGATCCAGTTATTCAGTGAAAAATGTAACTGGGAAGTCCAGTTACGAAGGTAAAAATTGTTAGGTAAAAATCATGCAGCCAGTCAGTGGAGTGACCTAACTGCACAAACATGTGGCTCATTGGTCCCAATTACAGAGGTTTGTACTAACAAAGGGTAATCTCTAGCCTGTGGAGTCCATAATCTAACCTGAGATTCAGTGCAACCATGAAAATGGAGGAAAGTGGGAGAGTCATGTAAAACACGATTAAGACTTTGCTAAACAAATACAATCAGACCACTTACACAGACAAGTGGATGAGTGTTTTTAGCAGGTGGGGTGAGTTCGGGTCTTGCATGAAGGCTTCAAATCTTTCTTGCCACTTCTGGAAAGACCCTCAGTCCAGAAGTGCTTGTTTCTCCCTTTCTCCTGGTACTCTCTCTTCCTCAGGCTGGAAAATGCTCCCAGCACTGTGAGTCCGACCGTCCTACCCTGGCAAGGGATGTCTATCCCTGGGTAGGGATGGAGTGAGCTTTAGCGCCTTCATTTCCAGTGGCACGCCATCTCGTGTATACTGCGGGCAGCAGGTCTGTGGACGGGATAGCACCGTCCTGCCTCCAAACCCGGGCTCGGGTTCATGAGCGGTCAAATAGGTGAGCGCTGGTACCTCGCGGTGGGGCCGCTGCCACTGCGCTTTGCGCTTCATTGCCCGTAGGAACAGCAGCGTTGCTAAGAAGGCTTTCGGTGGTTTAGCAAACGCAACTCCTGCCTCGCACCAGCTGCCACCAGGCTCTCGGCACCCACGAACGGGCCGGGAGTTGCATCGGGGCGGCGTGGTGGGGGAGGTTCGGGAGCTTCTGCATCACACCTCAGTCTTGCCTCCCCTGGGCTCGGGAGGCTGCCCGCGGGTGAGGCTGCTAGGGGACCACAGTCACGGCCACTACGTAGAGCCGTGATTTAGCATTTTGCGCGAAGGTGTCAGCCCCGCTCTTGCATTGGGACCTCACCGCAGTACCCGAGCTTTCCGGCTACTTTAGGGAAAACTCCCGATGTGGCGGTGCAGACGGACGGAGCCGGTTCCTAGGTCTTGGCTCCCTTCAGTGGAAAGGCGTGCGGGGCGGTCCGTGCGGCCCCGGCGGCGGATAAAGGCTCCGGCACAAACACCCACGACAGGCGCTCCTGCCGAGCCCTGCCGGGCCGGTCGGCCGAGGGGCAGCGACCGTGACCCACACCAGGGTCTCTCCCGTCTCTGACCCGTTCCCGGCCCCACATCCCACTCGGTCGCTCAGGGCGCCGCGGGGTGCGCTCCCCGGGACACGCCGCCCGTCCCCGCAGCCCGAGCGCGCCCGCCCCGGCAGCGCCGGCCCCAACTCCTCATTGGCCGGGGAGTGGATGACGCCCGGGCGGGAGCGGGCGCCGGGCTTATAAAGCCCGGGCGGGCCGGTGGTGCTGCGCTCCCGCCGCCCCGCACCGCCCCGCAATGCCGCGCGGCTTCCTCGTCAAGCGCAGCCGGCGCCCCGGAGGCTCCTACCGGGCTCGCCCGCGGGAGCGGGACGCGGACCGGGACCTGCCGCCCGCCCCTCCGCCGCCGCCACCGCCGCCACCCTCCGCTGGGGACAGCCCCACCGCTAGACAGGGGGCGGAGGAGGAGGAGGAGGGCGAGGAGGAGGAGGGCGCCGCCGCCGCCGCTTGCCCCGCGACGTGGCCCCCCGGCGGCGGCTGCGGCGGCCCCGGGGTCACTCCGCCGGAGGGTCCGGCCGCCTGGGGGGTGACGGGGCCGTGCAGCGTGGCGGGGCCGCGGGCGGCTCTCTTCGAGAGGTGCCTCAGCTCCCCCGCCTCCGCCGAGTCCTTCCCCCTGGCCGCCTCCTTCCCGCCCGCCGAGAAGCTGCTGCTGCAGCCGCGCACACCCCTGCCCGCCCCGCCGCCGCCGCCGGTGCCCGCGCTGAAGCGGCCGTCGCGGGCCAAGGCGCCGGCCAAGAAGGGCAAGGCCACGCGGAAGCTGAGCTTCGCCGACGAGGTGACCACCTCGCCCGTGCTGGGGCTGCGCATCAAGGAGGAGGGGCCCGAGGGCCGGCCGGGGCCGCCGGCGGGTCGCACGCCGCTGGGCGAGTTCATCTGCCAGCTGTGCAAGGAGCAGTACGCGGACCCGCTGGCGCTGGCCCAGCACCGCTGCTCCCGCATCGTGCGCGTCGAGTACCGCTGCCCCGAGTGCCACAAGATCTTCAGTTGCCCCGCCAACCTGGCATCTCATCGCCGCTGGCACAAGCCGCGTCCCGGCCCCAGCATCGACGGCGCCGCCGCCGCCCTGCCGGGCAAGGAGAACAGCCCCGAGCGGCGGCTCCGCGGCCCCGCCGCGCCCCCGCCACAGCCCCCGACGCCGACCCGTCAGCACCGCGGCGGCGTGGACAGCGCCGGCGGCGTCCCCGCCGCCCCCGGTTCCAGCCCCGGCCCAGCTCACGGCGGTGGTTCCGGCCCCGGCGGGGAGGCGTTCGCCTGTCCCTGCTGCCAGAAGCGGTTCCGGCGGCAGGCTTACCTCCGCAAGCACCTGGGCACCCACGGGGCAGCGCGGCCGGCCGCCTTCGGCCCGCCGGAGCGAGGGCCCCTAGCCTTCGCTTGCCACCTCTGCGGCGCCCGGTTCCCCTCGGCGGACATCAGGGACAAGCACCGGCTGTGGCACGCCGTGCGGGAGGAGCTGCTGCTGCCGCCACCGCCGCCCGCCAGCGTCCCCGAGGGCGGCGCGGCGGGCGGCGAGCGGCAGGGCTTCCCTTGCAAGCACTGCCCCGCCACCTTCTTCAGCGCGCCCGGGCTGGCGCGGCACGCCAGCAAGTGCCACCCGCCGGAGAGCAGGCAGGTCCTGCTGCTCCAAGTGCCCGTCCGGCCGGGCTGCTAGGTCCGCGGCCGCCTCGGTGGGACTGCTCCGAGAGCCCGGGCTAGCCGAGCGGGTCCTGGCCACGAGGTAATTCCTATGGAAAGTCGCGGCTCTCACGGTTACGACGGCGGAGAAAGCCGCCCGCGGACTCGCGCCGGCCGCCTCTCCGGCCGGTGGGTAGCGATGCACGCCCCGCACGGGCACGGCAGCGGGCTCAGCCCACGGGCGGCACCGCCGCCGCCGCTCCGCGGGGCCGGCCAGCAGCACTCAAACCGAGCCCCGCACGGGTGGGAGGACCGCGCAGTCCCCAGCTGCCGGGGCGGCTGTGGGCACGGTCCCGGGCTGGCGGCAGTAGCAGAGGAGTCCTGCCAGCATCTGGAGGGAGGCGGGCAGTGCCCGGGCGCCGGTACGGGCCCACCGCTAGTACATCTTCCGTAGCGACTCTCGGATAGAAATACAGCTGTATATACGGTATTTAAAGAGAGGAATTATTTTTCGTGAGAAAAGGAGCCTGATCTAGTGACTTTAATAGCCTTAGCCTCTGAGCTTCAACACTTAAGTTATGGTGAGGTGTTTTGTTTGCTGTACTCTGTACTAAGATAGTCAAGAAAGTGAATGTTCATATTAAGTCAATGTCAAGTCATATAATAGCTAGCAAAACGTATGGGAAATTAATTGTGCTGTCTGCTTAATTGAAATACGAGGTGTTGATCTACGTATGCATCTCCCGCTTACTCTGTGTCTCTGTACTCTAGCGACTGTGCAATAGGCAAAACACGTATCTGGCAGCTGCTCATTCCAAAACCTGCTCCGTTAGTGGCTTGTTACTGCAGCGTAGATGGTAGCCAGGAGCGCAGTTCAGTGTCACCTGGCTGGGCAGCGTGTGGCCCTGCCAGCCCCTGCATCGTATGCAGGCAGAAAGGACCCTGTCTGCAGCTGGCCTTTTCAGGAGGCTCCAACCCCTCTCCCCTGTGAGCTGCGCTTTTGATGTGAGTTCCTCCAAGTCTTGTGACCAGCTGAAATTAGGACATGAAACAGTCTTTAGACATGTTGCTAAAGTGCAGATGACAGGCTACCTTCCTTCTCCCTAACAACACTTAAACAAAGCATCCTGTGGTGAGTATTCCCTGGCTTTGACAGTGCTCTCTGGCCAAATGCTTTGAAATGCTGTTGAATTTACCAGCTATTGACATTCCAGCCATATTTATTTATTTATTTATTTATTTATTTATTTATTTATTTATTTTCCACTTGAGTGCTTGTTTCTTAATGTTATAGCAGATGAGGCTAAAAATAAGGGCAAAAAAATTCAATAAAAAATTTAAAACATAGCTCATGCCTTTTTTCAATTCAGCAGGGCAAAGTGGGTCAGCTGGTGATTTCCGAAAAACCAAACGAATCCCAGTTGTAGTCTTTGTTCTAACACTCTCTTTGAAATAAAGCATGCAAAATATTTCCATCTCTTGATTAGCATCCTCTAAAGCCATTATTTCTGTACTTTTACATTTTGCTTCACACAACAAAGATGCAGATGTATCATGCCCAAAGACTGCAAGCAAGTGATAATGCTTTATTTTAAATGTGCTTCATGGACTTTTGTCATTTTAGTTCCAGGACCCGGACAACTGAATTAAAACAATATAACCTAATATAGCCAAGATTTGCTCTCTGACAGAGGAGGCAAAACTCACATCTCACTCTTTTCATATGACAAAAATAAAACGTTATTTTAAGTTGTGCATTTTTCTGTCATTTGTTGGTAACAAAGACTTGGATAAAAATGCCCATTTATGCATTTAATGAGTTCACTCCTGGAGAAAGTCGCTATGTTTTTTTTAAATCATCGTTCTCCTTTCTCCACTTGTGTAGTCGAAGACGAAGGGCTCCAGACCACACAAACGTGATGGTTATTAACTGCTCCCAAAATCAGCACTTGAACAACCAGCAGGAGAGAACGTCCTGTGCTTTATATTACATGCAATGCATTTACTAGATCTGGGGAAGAGTTTTCAGTCTGGCATTCTTCTGATTCATTGGGAAAGAGCTCCTAAGAACTTGTACATTTTTTAATACAAAAGAAAACTAAGCTGTGTATTGCACTCAATTGCTCCATGTGTACGTAGTACATAATTCTTCCATAAATTGGAGTCAGAATCTAGTTAGTGAGGTGAATGACTAATATACAAAAGGTGGTAAGAATAATTTTATTGTATTATTAAATAGCATGTCTTCTTTTCAACATTACAAATTTGTTGATACTACATGAATGACAATACATAATTTCTCTTTTTATTGTTGCCCATATGATATATTTACACATGCAGTTAGTACCGATGCCATGCTACATTTTGTTAACAGCATTTTTTTACTAGACTCAAAATGTGAGCATTTCACCTTCTGTAGGAAAATACCTCTGGGTGGGTGGAACTCGTGTACTAATCTGCGCTCACAGGGTTGAAATCGACAGCACTTCAGGCCAGGCTCCCAAAGCATGTTCCCTTTTCTTCCCTAGTACCCATCATCACAGCAATGAATTTCTATTAGGAAAGTGTTTGTTTTTAATTTTTTTTTAACATAAGAAAAAAGAATATACATCTAGATGGAGCAGCCCAATGATAAAGGCTAAAACCCATGAAACTTGATGGCATTTACTATTGATACTACTTGGAAAAGCAAACATTATAAAAATATTTGGAAGCCAAGCATAAGAAGAATTTCAGCACAGTGATTTTTTTTTTTCTGACATAGATTATCTGCAGAATTATGAAATGATACATTACTTTGTGAAGAAAGAATTGGTGCTATGAGCAAATTATTTCATTTGGACGCTGTAATGCTTGAAAGGCCATTGAACTATTTTATTCTCAACATAAATAACCTGTACACATCCTGTGCATTAACATTGTGACATCTGACAAAGACTTTACATATGCAACGTCAATTTAAAATTGTACATTCATTTTCAAATTGTACATATTTCTTTCTTTGTTACAGAGAAAATTGCAATGGGGCACAATAAATACAGTGTGATCCAGCTGCAGTCTCCAACTCCATATGTAACTCAAGATCAACCAGAGTTAAAAATGACTACTGTTAAGATACCATAATCATCCAGGAAGGTAAAAGTGCAGAGGACAAACTGCACTGCAATTAAAAAAAAAAAAAAAGCAGGCAGACTGAAGTTTGATAAAAAAAACCAACACTAAAATATCAAAGTAAAATTCCAGTGTCACCGTTTAAAATAAACATACAGAAAAGGAGCACGCAGGGCACAGGCGCACACACATGAGAGACATTACCCTTGAGTGAAAGGTATGAGCGGTGAAAAAAAACCCCAGTGTTGAGTTGCTGTGGGAAGGGTGGCCAATTGCTGTTCACTAGAAAGCTTCAGGCATCTTGCCACTTAGGATTTGTTGGCTGAGCCAGAGGAGCGGCGCAGTTTCATGGACATGCGGCTCTTGCTAGTCCGAGGAGACATTGGAGAGGCTAAGTCTGTTCCATCCACCTGTGCTGTTGCTGCTGCTGGAGTTTCTCCCGGCTGAGTCTCTGGGCAGAAGCCTGAAGAGGACAGCAAGAACCAGACGGGTCAGTGCCGCCTTCCGCACTCGTCGCTTGGGATCTCTTAGCAAGGGGCAGGGAGGAATTTCAGTGCTGCTGTCACTGCCACAGCATCTCCTAGCCCTTTACCAGCTGTGGGTGATGGTATTGCTCATGGAGTTAGCAATTGCCACAAATCCACCCCTAGAGAAAAGATGATGCCAGAAACCACTGAGCTATGGGACTGCAGAACCCCCTTGCTCTCAGCAATTGAGGCAGCACTGAAGTGGGAGATGTTCTCCCACTAACCAGGAGAACAAACACCTCCAGTTCCCTTGCAGGGATGGGGAGTCGTTATTCAAACCACAACCCAGAAGAATCCAATCTTTAATGAGAACATGAAGGTTAACAGCTCATTGCGCATGAAGGGAGCTCTAGGAATGCAGCTGAAGAGGTGGAGTGAATTTGGGGCCAACTGGGAGAGCAAAACACCTTCTCCCATCCCAACTTTAGTTGGTGCTTCAAAAGGCAAATTCCTACAGGGCCCACAAGGCAGAAGCTTGAACAGATCATACTAACTGGAAGCACTATACGTTAATGTTTCTTTGTAAAAGGAACAAGATGAATTTGAGATAAAAGTAGGTAATTCATTAGTCCAGTGCCCAGAGCTATGCTCCAGTGGGCCCTGCATCCTCACTTCAAGGGCATGAGGCTTTTCCTTACAAACAGCATGTCTCCAAATCTTCCATAAAGATACAGAAGGAAAAGGAGAAAACATTAAATCAAAATTACATTCTCCTTCCCACGTTAGAGAAAATTATTACTATGAACTCCCATCCATAAAATTAAACTGCATTTTAATTAGCCATTCACAGAGACTGACAGTGTGACTGAACTCAACTACTTCAATCGCCACTGAAGGCTTCTGACCTGTGTAAATTACAGACAGAAAGTCCTGCAGGTGTTGACAGGGAAACCCCTGCTGACTTCAGTAAGCCTGAAATCACCTGCTTTTTCTTCCACATCATGCTATTATTGGTAATTCTTTAAAAGGGGTGCAAAAATAACTCAAAACTGGTCATGATTTATTTTGAAAGACTCTTCTCAAATCAAGTGAGGTCATCAGTTAAGAAGTCAAGGAGTACATTTAAAACATTGTCATAAACCTCTGGTATTTAGTGACCTGGCTGTCCTCTTTGCCTGGTCCCTCACCTGCCTGCTCCAGAGGGACATCATGGTACTTTCTATCTTCAGACTGACATGAACCATCAGAGTGACAGGGGAAAGAAAGGGCTGTTATTTGTTCCCCAGCTGGTGACAGTAATTCTGTTCATGAACTAGGTACTTCATTGCCAAACAATCTGGAAAAGCACGATAATGTCTGACTCACTGTGCCTTACAGAAAAAGGCAGGCAGGGAAACATGCATTCGCATTTTCTGAAATTCTATCTTGTTCTGATTTTACAAGGAATTAAAGCATTTCA